TCCTTTAAGGTGCTTCCTGCAGGTGTTACATGACAGCAATGAGAAAAGTAACACATTAAGAACCACACTGATGAATCCATTTTGGGTTAGAGGTCACATGGCAACAGAGCATCAAACTGTGGCTCCACAATTAAGAGCACTGGCTGCTCTTCTAGAGGTCCTGAGCTCAATTCCCAGCACCTGTAGTGGTTCACAACCATCTATAACTCTCTGTGGTCCCATAGGATCCGATTCTTTCATCTGATGTAGAAACAAAACATCACATATGTAAAATACACAAATAAATAAATCAAGAGAAAGGGAGAGAGAGCGAGAGAAAGGGAGAGAGAAAGAGAGAGAGAGAGAGAGAGAGAGAGAGAGAGAGAGAGAGAGAGAGAGGGAGAACACGAAGCCGGGCAGTGGTAGCCCACACCTTCAATCACACCACTTAGGAGACAGAGGCAGGTGGATCTCTGAGTTTAAGGCCAGTCTGGTCAACAGAGCAAATTCTATGACAGCCAAGTATAAACAGAGAAACCCTGTCTTGAAAAACAAGCAAACAAACAAAAACAACACCCCCCCAAAAAAAAAACCCCAAACAATCAAATAACAACAAAAATGGGCAATTCTAGTCAAGCTAAAGAGATAGCTCAGAGGATAAGAATGCATACAGCTCTCGAAGGATACCAGAGTTCAGTTACCAGTATCCACATCAGGCAGCTCACAACTGCCTGTAACTCTAACTGACGCCCTCTTCTGGCCTCCAGTGGCATCTGCACTCATATACCCAAAGCATACACACATAGTAAAAAATATATAATCTTTTTAAAGAAGATATTTCTAGCCTTGTTTATTTTTAGAGCAAATCTAGGCAGTTACCCTCGTGGCTTTTTCTATAAAGGGAAATGAATCAATTATCTGAATGATTCCTAAATTTTACTAAAACTCTCAGATATTGTCTTTCCCAACTAGTACCTCCAATGATGAAAGACTTAGAGTCCAGAGTTGTTCATACCCCATTTGTTTCTCTCAGTATGAGCTGGTAAGTATAAAATCAAACCGAAGCTCTGTAAATAGACATTTCAAATGCGCGGTGTGTCACTGTTTACATTGAGCTGCAGATTTGAATAAGCCTAATGAAATCATGTTTGGTTGCAGTGCACTTGGTAGCTCAGCAGTAACAGGCTAGAGCAGGCAGTCTCATCCACAAAGTCAAAGGATGGGGTTAGGGATGAGGCAGAGTTGGTAAGCATGTCCAGACTGGGCATGGTAGTCCATGCCTGTGATACTAGCACTCAGGATAAGAAAGCCAAGGCTACCTACCACTAGCTACATATCTAACCTTGAAAGCAGCCTAAGACATATGAAACTCTGTCATGGGGTGGGGGTGGGGGGCAGTATTTGGAAATGACAGGCAGGTTTCTGTTTCATTTCTGTTACTAAGCAATGTAGGGGAGAAAGGGTTTGTTTTAGCTAACAATCCAGGAAATATAGTCCATCACTGTGGAAAATTTACAGCAGCAGGAGCTTGAATCAGCTAGTCACATCCTATCCACAGCCAAGAACAGAGGGAAAAAGATGCATGCATGGTCACTTGATTGCTTAATTGTGCTCAATTTGATTTGTGTTCCGCTTTTACACAGTTCAGGATCCCCTGGCTAGGGAATGGTGCTGCTCACAGTGGGCTAAGTCTTCCAACACTGATTAACTTAATTAAAACAATCTCCTATAGGCCAACCAAATGTAGACAATCCCTCATTGAAACTGTCTTCCCAGATGACTCTAGGTTATGTAAAGTTGACAGTCAAAGCTAACTATCATGCTAACCCAAGATGTGAAATGTAATGACCAATCTTCAGTGTTCAGATTTATTGCTAAAAAGAGCATAGGAGAATACATGGTTGAAGAATCTAAGATGCTATGGAGAAAATAGGGTTGGAGGCATGTGGTCAAGAAAGAACTTGGGACCACAAGTAGTGTTTTCGCTATAGAGGGAATAAGACAATACATTAAAGAAACAGAAGATTCCTGGGCCTGGTGGCTCAAACCTAGAATGCCAGCTACTTGGGAGGCTGAGACAGGAGAATCATAAATTCAAAACCTGCCTAGATTTCAGTGTAAGTTCCAGCCAGTCTGGGCAACTTAATGACTGACAGAGATCAAAGATAGAGAACTTTCCTAGCATACCTGAAGTGTTGGGTTCAATTCTCGGTATCAAAGATGGAAAGGAGTGGGGGTGGGTGGGAGGATGGAATATAATAGGGGAAGTGATGGCATGTTTTCATATCTCAAATTAAAAATAAAACACATAATCACCCAACTTCCATTTGCCTTCCTAGCTCATTAAAACTTGTCAGGATCTTTCCCTCTGTTTTCATTACGAGGTCGTTCTTTCTTTGTTCCTGATTGTTTTTTGTGTTTGTCTTAGAGTTTTACTGCTGTGAATAGACATCATGACCGTGGCAACTCTTAAATAGGAAAACATTTAATTGGGCTGGCTTACAGTTTCAGAGGTTCAGTCCAGTATCATGGCAGGAAGCATGGCAGTGTGCAGGCAGACACAGTGCTGGAGAAGAAGTTGAGAATTCATCTCGATCCTCAGACAGCAGGAAGAAAATAGTCACGCTGGGCCTGGCTTGAGCATCTGAGACCTCAGAGCCCACCCACAGTGACACACTTCCTACAACAAGGCCACAGTTCCAGATAGTGCCACTCCCTATGAGGCTATGGGGGTGCAATTTTTATTCAAACCACCACACTCAAAGGCATTGTTTTCTCTGTTTTCTCTCCTTTCCAGTGTTCCAGACCTTTCAAGATCTAAAGTAACTTGGGATAAGTACAACTGAAAACACCAAAGTTGAAAAACATAACGAGATTAGAATCGGCATCCCATGGGAAACAACGACTAGGGAGATACTGTATATCAAACACAACCATAGAAGGGTTCACTTGCCATCAGCCTCGTAGCTGATCCTTAAATTCATGGAAGCAACACTGCTGGTTCAAGAATACAACCATACTCTTTAGAAAAAGACACTTAAGCCGAACTTGTGAGTCAAATCACATCTTTGCAGCATGGTGGAGTGGGAAGGTGTATTTGTGAATATGTAATGGGTTTTTCTAGGCCAGCTTCAGAGAAGGTTGATCAAGGTTATCTGTGCAGCAATGGAATGAAAGGGAAATTCTTTGGATCCAGATCTCTCTCTCTCTCTCTCTCTCTCTCTCTCTCTCTCTCTCTCTCTCTCTCTCTCTCTTCTCCTTCCCTAACACCCCTCCCCCTCTCTGGGATGATGCTATGAAATGTGGTACAAGTCACTAAATTGTCTTCAGTTTCCTCTGTCTCCTCCTGTAGGTCCCAGCTCTCAGAAGTGGTCCTTTCTCTGCTCCCAGCCGAGTGTTGTCCACCTTGCAAGGGTCTGTAGCCAGCCACTCTGATTTGTGGCAATCCCACTCATTCTGCAGTTAGGGGAAGAATGACAAAGCTGGGCTAAGGAGCAAGGATGTGTCCTCCGGTCTTGGCCCCAGACTTCACAATCCAGCACTACTTCTCTTAGCATTCTCGGAGTCTTCCCTTGACCCCTAACTTGACAGTCACCTTCCAGCAACATGTCTCTTGGTAGTGTTCCCTGACTTCTGTACTGAAGGACATGACAAGTGTCCAGGAGGGATTAGACAAACAAATGATTTTCAGGACCCTGAGCTCCATTGCGTTTGAAATGGAAATGAAATACAAACTCAGGCTCTCGTACAAACTCCTTTGGGGTCAAACATGTTTAGAATTCTAAAGTTGATCAAATTTTACACAGCCAAACTGGTACATTCACTACACATTATGTAACATTGCAGAAGGATCTGGGCCAGGACGCTATCATCGAATAGGAAAATATCTGCATTGAAACACATGAATATTCACACGAAGAAAGATAATGACTATAAATAACCCCTCATCAGTTCAGGGTACATGTTGCCCCCCCCAGCCCCACCCCATCAGTTCACATAAGGTCAAGTTTTGCTGCTGGATGACTCAACTACAAAATAACTTCTATTTTCGGGGCTCTTTGGAGTTAGGGATTGTGGGTAAAGATTGTAGATCTAGACGGTGATTAAAGAGGGTGATCCTGCTTGATCTGTTACTATAACTCTTTATAGAAGATAAGACTGCACATAAGCATAAGTAAGGGGAAAATGTGTTTTCCTCCCTTACATCCTGTTTATCAGTAGCTTTGGTTATTTGCTTCTATTACATCCTATGCTGCCTCCATCGTCTCTGAAGCTCTTGTTAAATGCTGGATGTTGGGGCATCTTTTCCCAGCTCCAGTATCTGGAAGTGCCTGGTAATAATCGGCTCTCCTTCCATCACTGAGTCCTCGAGCTGAATCTCTTCCATCTTCCATGGATTCGGTACCAGTTTGGTCCTCTTCCTGGGCCAGGCCCCAAACCCACGATCTCAGCACTGAGTCACCCTTTGGTCTCTCTGTTGGTCCGATGGTCTTAGTGTCAGTACCTGTGACCTGGTGGCATGCTTCCCACCAGGGGGCTCATGTCACTCAGCACAGTTTTCCTCTTGTTCTCCATACTTTGAGTATTAGATAGGACACCTTACCTTGAAGCCTTAGGCCAAAGATCCTACCTCTCCCCTCTTGGACACTTATGCTTGAGTCCTTTAGCAAAAATCCTAGAGCAAAGCCCAGTGATCCAGCTGCCATCCTGTAAAAAGTGCAATTTTCTGTGTCTCCTTGCTCCCAGAGGAGATATCAGTTATAGATGTCCCTCTTCTACGGAGCAGGTTTGCAGACGCATGTGACCCACATGCTTATGCAGACTGATAATGGTTGCATCAGTTGGAATTCCTCATTCTTCAGATTCTGTTGAGGCTCCTAAAACTGTTAACTAGAGCAACCCCTGGGTCAAAACTAGCAGGCTCAGCCAGCACTGAGCAAGTTCCACAGCTTGGATTTCTGGAATGGCACACAGGTCAAGGCCTTGCTGTACAGGCAGTCCGCAGAAGAAGACATACTCACTGTGAAATGAAGTGGTTGAATTCCTCACACCAGTTGTTGGGGTGCAGCAAAGTGGGTGGAGGGTTTCTGAAAGATAAAAAAAAGCAATGTTTTCCATTATAGTAAATTTAGGTTTGGTAAAGGGCAAAATATCAACTGGTGTCTATGGGTGCCCTTTTAAGCATCTGGGGAAAACAATCGTCTCTGCTCCTTCCCAGGTGGGAATAATTTCCTTGTGGGAACTCCCAGAGGCCCAGCCCCTCCTCTTGGGCTCACTCATTTTCCCTGATTGAAGAGCACTTTCTCTTGACCTCAGCGCTACTGACAGGCACACAAAGCAGGGGCAGCTTCAGGAGCAGACAGTCTAATGAGCAGCTAGACAAACACGCAAACCGTTGTATCTGAGAGCAGAGGATTATGGGTGCTGTAAGAAAGCTATAAGCACAATGCTTGGGGCCTTAGAGAAATAGACTTTTAATTATGCAGGGTTTTCAGATCATTATGGTGCCATTTAAATTAATTATGTGACACATCGAAAGCCTACTCATGATTGCATCAGTCACATTTCAACTGTTTCCTGCATGCCAACCTCTGCGATAGGCAAAGGAGAAATCAAGAACCCCAAAACAGTGCCCTGGCTTCTAAGATGCTACCAGAGGAAGGCAGACATATCTTGTGCCCAATTACAAGGGATCTATGAGAACAGAACAGTATCAGGAAAGTCCTTAGGTAAGGATCTCACTAGACCACCTTCTGCTGACAAAACAGTGATGGAGAAAAGAGAGAGACTGGAATGTATTCAATAGTTCTTAAAGAAGACTCATGTATAAAACAGAAGTGGGGCTGGGGCTTTGGCTCAGTGGGTAAGAAGGTGCTTGCTCTCCAAACAAGAGGAGGACCTGCATTCGAATCCCTACCACACACATAAAAGTGAGGCATGGCTACACGTGCCTATAACAGCAGCTTTAGAAATGCGGTAGTAGAGTCAGACACATCCTGGGAGCTTACTGAGCACTCAGCCTAGCTGAAATGGTGAGATTCAGGTTCAGTTAAAGACTCGTCTCTAAAAGCAAAGTGTAAGGCAATAGAGGAAAACAACAGACATCTTTCTTCAACTTCTACAAGAGTGTGCCTAGGCACATGAAACCCTTGCACAAACACTCCTACACACACACACACACACACACACACACACACACGCCAGAAGTGAACTGACCTTACTCCTTGCCATTAGTGGAAATAAGGGCTGTTGGACAAACTGAGTTCAGTAAGTAAAAGAACACATCCACACACCCAAGTCATGACTGTACAGTTTAAGCCCATTATATCTAATCTTTGGTTTTGCTCGAGTACTAACTGCTTCTTAAAGCAGAATGCTGCTGAACTTCTAGGGACAGAGGCATGAGAAGCTTTAAGAACAGCTAGAGATAGAAAGTGTTTCAGATAACATGATTTCACCACATCTTTCAATAGCCGTTCCCCTCCCATTTCATAAGCATTTATTCTGGTAGCCCCACCATAACAAAGACTACAAGTTCCTAGGCATCATGATGCTGAGTGTGGCTGCATGACTGACTGCTGACCAATGATGTACAAATCAAATTGTTCCATGATGTTTTCAGAAAGTCGAGTCAAAGAGAAGAGACACGCCTTTTCTTCACTGCTGTGCATCTGTGTGCTGGGGCCTGCTGGTGTATGAATGGAGGGGCTAGCAGGCCCATGATGCAGAATAACCAGCTCTCCTTTGGGTAAAGTTTATAGGCACTTCAATGCAATACGAGACGAAGACAGATCTGAAGGAAAACAACAGTTTGAACTTGGCCTGCCTCGATGCCTGAGGTTTGTAGCTAAAATTAAACTATCAAGAAAGCCCATGGTCACAGACAGCACAAAAGCCATATGAGGTTTACCTCCAGCCTCTATATGCACACTCACACATGTACTCACACACACACACACACACACACACCCACCTTTACACATATAAACGCAAACACACAAAGCAAGAGGTAGAAAGAGTCACTGTGAAAGAAACCCAATTCTCTCCTGTTGCCTATGAAGGCAGAGCAAGTGGGCCATGAAGCCAGGAATGCAGGCAGCCCCTGCAACGTGGAGCTGAGCCCCAACTGTTACTCAGAAAAAATGAGGGTCCCTCAGTTCTATACACACAAGGGACTGAATTATGCTTGTAACTTGAGGGAACAAGAAAGCAGATTATTCCCCAAGCTTTAGGAAAAGGACACAGCCCTGCTGACTGCGTTGTTTTAGCCTAGAGGAATCATGTTAGATTTCCAAGCTATGGAACTGTGAGATAATAAATTTGGATTGTTTTAAGCTGTGAAGTTCAGGGTAATTTGCTATGATAATAACAGAGACCGAATACATCAATCAAGCACCACGTCCGCTATACTCTACTTCTGAGTTCCTCTTTCACATAACAATCTGTCACCTCACCCTACACTTCTCCAGGGGCCTCTGTGTTTCCTCCTCCCCTCCTCTTAACTCTCTTCAGTCCAGCTGGTGTCCGGTGGTGAGAATTTCCTTATAATACACACATTTGTCCTTGTTGTGTCCTGGCTCAAATTTCTTTGCAGATTCGAGTTTCTAACATGATCAAATCTCAGCTCCTTTACATAATGTATAGGTTATCTTCCTTAACTACCCACCCCATTTCAAGCCACATCCTCCATCCAGAACCTGTAGCTTCCAGCAGGTTCTCTCCTTTACCACCTCTGAACCATTGTACATGGCGAATCTCCACAATTTACCTACCTGGTGGGCTCTTGGTCATTCTTCATGCCTGACTATCATGCTTAATACAATAGCATTCTGTGGGTTTTTTAAAAAAAACTTTATTTATTTTTATGTTTATGAATGTTTTGCCTGCCTGTAGGTCTTTGTAACACAGGTATGCTAGCGTCTCAGAAGCTGGAAGATGTCAAATACCTCTGGGCTAGAAGTACAGTCGTTTGTGAACCACAGTGTGGGTCCTGAGAATTGAAGCCAGGTCCTCTGCAAGAGCAGCTCATACTCTTAGCCACTGAGCCAGACACAATATTCTATAATTTTTGATGAATAAGTGACTACATGAATAAATACACATATGTTGTTAAGTAAGAAGAAGTGCCAGGGGCTCAATAACTAATGAAGCACAGAATAGCCCTCTTGAATGAAAGCAGATTCCAAGTAAGTTATTTACAGTAAGCAGGGAGATTTTGAAAGAAAAAATGTTGAGTTGAGTTGAACTTGACAGTGTAATCCTCAGTCCGCACTCTAGAAGCCCAAATGTACCCACATCCATGAACACATCTGTGTTTGTTACTTATCTTGTTGCTGCAACAATACACCTGACAAAAGCAACTTCGGAAGGGGAGGGTTTACTCAGGCTCACAGTTTGAAGGGCAGGCCATTGTGGTAAGGGCAGCATGGTAGTAAGAGTAAGACGCAGTTGATCTCATTGTATCCCCAGTCAGGAAGCAGAGAATGAAGGTTTCTGGTGCTCACCTTTCTATATAAGGTCTCCCCTTTCTATATAATCCAGGACACCAGCCTACGGAATGATGATGCCCATAGTTGGTGGTGGTGGTGCCAGCAGGGATGGGGGTGGGGAGTAGAGAGAAGGTGTCTTCCTACTTCAGTTAACTTGATCAAGATAATCCTTCAAAGATCTACCTAGAGATTTGTCTCAAACATGACTACATACCCAGCCAATTGACAATCAATACAAACTACCACCACAGTATCCAACAATTATAATCAATGACTTAAGCCCCATTGTAGACATAACTAACGTCAGCCCATTATATTCACCCCTGTGGCAGGCGGGCTAGAGACAGACGATAAAGGCCAATATGAGTCATATTGAATTCTTGGTTCCCAGAGTTCCTGCCAAATGCCTCACTTTGCAGATCATCTTGCCACCCCCAAATGTTGTAAAATCAGAAGCATCTGTTCACTTTCACAGGTGGAGAAAATACAGCTTTCAAAACATTGTCAACTAGGATGACGGTGCTTGACTATAATCCCGGAACTTAGTTTGAGGCCACCCTTGACTACCCAGTGAGAGCTAGTCTCACTTCCATGCCTCACTTTGTAATTGGGTTGCTTTTTATTAGTTATTTTTATTGAAAAATATTTATACATTATACTTTGATCATGTTTTTCCTGCCCAATTCCTCCTAGGCCCTCCCTACTTCCCAACTTACCCAACTATACATTAGTTCTCTCTTGCTCCTTAAAAACCACCCAAACAAACAAAAACAAAACAAACAAACACCACATGGAAGTAAAACTCTACCAACAAACTTCTTTTTCTCTCTCCAAAATATCCAGAAAAAGTGAAAGACTCAGGCTTTAAGTTAAGACATTTCTTTCCTCAACGTCTATATACACCACTGTTTTCTATTCATGAAGATTCTGTTACTTTGGAAGATGAATTAAGTGAACACGTATGCAAAAAATGACAGAAACCAATTAGCAAGCAACCCTGGAAGGTACAAAATGAAGTTGTCAAAATCAGGAAACACGTTCAGCAAGGGTGTAAAGAGAGGTCCCTCCACAAGGCCAAGTTCATTAAGCTGGGTCTCTTGAGGTCTGTGAATTTGAGGCGTGTCCTGGGCAAAGGGGCCATACAACCATCTGCAAAGGAGAAGGATATTGCAGAGAGTCGGGCACGTAGAGAGGAAAATTAAAAAAAAAAAAAAAAAAAGAAGTATGGTCCCTAGTTATAGCTACCATACAGTTAAATACCTCATAATGTGTTCAGAAGGGATTCTTCTTATTTACTCATAAAAGCAATAAACCAAGACATTTGGGTGCAATCAAACCGTTGGGAGAGTATTAACTACAGCCACGGAGCTGCCATTCTGATTACAATTAGTAGAGCCCATTAATGGAGTCAAATAGTTGGACTTGTGCCTGTATCTGATCCCTCAGTATCATACCCCAATCCTACTCAAAGTGGCTTTTTTTTTTTTGCCCTAAATTGCGTCTTGTATATTCAAACTTAATTCCTTTTAAACGTTTACATCTATTTGCATTGCATGATTCCATTTTACTGTATAACGAATTCCCCCAATACAGGAATA